AAGTTGACCAAAACAGTCCGTGAATGGAGTCTAACTTTTCTGATGAAAGCTGTTAGAAGCATTTAGTTGTGTTCTGGGTGATTTAACTTGTATTCCCCCCCCCCTCCTTAAAACTTAAGAAAATATGAAAATTTAGGGGTATGAACTCACCTTGAGTGATTTAAGTGGATGGATGTTGAAGAAGGGAAGTATTCAACTCAAGAACACTTAGAATGTGGCCAGAAGATTCAAAGATCTAACACCAAAATGATGGAATTTGTGTATGTAATCTATGATTTGGATAGAAGGAAGTGATATAATCATATGAAGGGTAATAATACTTACCAAAAGTAGATGAAAAATTTGGAGAATTGCCTTGAATCTCGAAATGTTAGAGAGAGAAAGTGAGAGAAAATGAAGTTTGTTCTTTGGTGGAAAGTGAGAGGAATGAGAGAAATGTGAGGAGAGAGGAGGGTTTTCTAGATATTGACCAAGTGTGTGGCTGCAAAATGGTGGGAAAAGTACTATGAAATGACTAGGTATGGTGTAATAGTGACTGGGGGTTGTACTATGAAGGTATGGGAGGTTACTTGTGTCCTTGTCTAAAGGATAAGTCGACACTCCACCTGAATATCTTACCAAATAGATTTTATTCTTAGGTAATGATTTTCCCCAAAAATATAGCTAAAATATGAATATTTAGGGTTTATTATATTAAAATATGATTTTGGGTGAAAACCCCGCGTTAAAATCTCGAAAAATGGGCTCAAACGCTAAAAATATTGGAAACCGGGCAAAAAGGCGAAATTCCAAAATTTGTGGCCGAATGTCGCGAAGGCTCGGTCTTAGGAGCACTAGAACCGAAAGTAGAAGAGGAACTGAGAGTGGGGGGGGGGGTTCGGCTGCGCAGGTCGCCTCTCAGACCGAAAGTGGGAGGGGAGAGCCGAAAGTCTCGGTCTCATTTCGGAATTGTCAGGGGGTCGAAATAGGCCGAGCCCTCGGTCCATTTTGGTTGAGGGAGGGGGGGGTTCAGTTCTGATGCAAGGCTTCGACTCTAAGAGGAGTTTCGGCTTCCTAAGAGGGGTTTCGACTCCTTAGGTCTGTTTTTCGTGTAGACTTCCGTTTTCGAGCTGTTTTCGCAAAATTCGAGGGTCGGGATGCCCCGAGTGATTATAAAAAGTTGAGAGAGAGATTTTGAGAAAGATTTGGGAGTGTTTTCACATTCTAGGAGAGATTTCTCATACAGAGAGAGATTTGGGAGAGATTTCACATTCTTGGAGAGATTTCTCATACAAAGAGATATTTGGGAGAGATTTCACAATCATGGAGAGATTTCTCATACAGAGAGAGATTTGGGAGAGATTTCACATTCTTGGAGAGATTTCTCTTACAGAGATAGATTTGGGAGATATTTCACATTCTCGGAGAGATTTCTCATATAGAGAGATTTGGGAGAGATTTCACATTCTTGGAGAGATTTATCATACAGAGAGAGATTTGGGAGAGTTAGAGCGAAAGTGATTGGGAGAGGTTTCGTTTGTGACATTTTTGAGTGTCCGGCTTCGCAATGCAAGGTCCGTAAACCCCGTTAAGCCATGTTTAAGGGTCCTACACACTCCCGATGAGTGTGCAATAATGTTTTATCGGTTTGGTCCATTACTTACCGCTGTTTTAGGTTAAGGACATCTAGATATACGAACTTTTCAATTCATGATTTCTCATTAGAATAGAGAGTTGTGCAGTAATTACATAACGTAAACCCTAGTATACAAGGGTTAATTGAGTTGACTGTTTTGACTTGTTGACTTAGTTTGACTTTGACTTGACCAAAATTTGACGGTTGTCACAATGTCTATCGTTAGGGTGTTGTGATGATACTTGAGACAAATATGGGTAGGTGTGGAAGGTAGTATGGGCCCGTACTACTGAAAGTACAGGACCCATACGCGTAGCAAGGAAGTCACAACCTCTAGTGTTTGTGGAAATTGGTTTCCCGATATTATGTTGTTTATCTGACGTCATGGGTATATTTTTAGTATGGTGATGATGAGATGCTTTATGTGACATCCCCAATTTCACGGCCAGAAAAAGACCGATTTGTTTATGCTTTGTTTTATAAAATCAGAGTAAACCTTTGATTATAAGAGTTGCGGAATTTGTTCCCAAAATAAAATATGATAAAATAAAATTTATCAAAGCATTTCATAAAGAAATTTATTTTCAATAAATAATAAAATCTTGAGATGTTATATTCCGATACAGACCAAAAGCATAAACAATATAAAATAGACCTTACAACAGTTATTTATAACTACTGATCCATAATCCAAAATCTCTCATCAAGTCAACCAACTTATACCCTTGTGCCACTACCTGTAATGCAAAGAAAATTGAGTGCGTCAGGCTTGGGACCCCGGTGAGCATATAGGGTTTTCAACCCACAATAATATAATTATTATATTTAATCACCAAACAATCAACCAAATTACCCATCCCCATTATCTTCTTTAATTCTTAATGTTTTACCCTAAGAATCAACTATCGTTCAATCATTCATTCCAAAGAGTTGACCTATGGAATTGGCACAAAATCCATCGCTACATAAGGTGCATCTGCCAAGGTTATCCTTTAAGCGCCTCTGCCCAGATTACAACATACACTATTAAGCGCATCTGCCGATATTATGACATTCTATTTTAGGTACATTTGTCGACGTTATCCTTTTAGCGCATCTGCCAGGATTACGACATTCACTATTAGGCACATATACCAATATTATCCTTAAGCGCATCTGCTAGTATTATGGCATTCTCAATTTGGTGCATCTGCCAAAATTATTCCTAAGCGCATCTGCTAGTATTATTACATTCACTCTTGGCACATCTGCCAATATTATTCTTAATCATCTTTCGCACCTCATAATTTATCTACCCATGTTTTCCCCAACATAATAGTAGATATGAAACACATATATAGTTTAACTTATTTAAAACTAGTACCAAATATTGCATTCAACACCAATCTCAAATAAACAAACAACTTATTAACACATATCACATATTTTATAGTCAATACTTTGTATTCAACACTCATCTTAGATAAACAAAAAACATATTAACACATAGCACGTATTTCATAGCAAATACTTAATATTTATGTGTTAGAAGAAATTAACTATACACTCACACAAAACATATACTTAATACATTCAAACAATACACTCACACATATAAACAACAATATATATATATATATATATATATATATATATATATATATATATATATACACACACATAGCATGTATTTTATAAAATACTTCATATGTATGTGTTAGATGAAACTTACTATACACTCACTTGATCAGAAGATGATCGGATAGCACTACAGCTCTAAGAGTAGTACTTCTTTGGTGAAACTAGAAGATCTTTACACACCGGGCTTCTCGCGGGCAGAGCTTTGGCTTGGAAACTCTTTTCTTCACGGGATCTTCTGGCTTCGGTACTTGCTTCGTATCTCAGGATGATACCGGGGCTTCAGTGGGTTAAAATAGGGCTTAGAGAGAGTATCAGGAGTGGGAGATAAGAGATTGAGCAACCAAACTCGGCTGCCCCTTGAATTCTATTTATAGGGCTGAGTTTATGGATTCACGTTGTGAATCTCAAATATTCACATCGTGAGTTCAGTCGTCACTACATGCGTCATCACAAGTTGCGTCTGTCAGGCTCCAGAAGTCATAAATACTGAGTTCACGTCGTGAGCACTGTATTCACGTCGTGAACTCAGACAGTTTTGGGGTTTCGCGCCCCGAACTTCAGAAATTCATAACTTTCGCATACAAACTCCGTTTTCAACTTTATTTATAATCACGCGTAGGTAAAAATAAGATCTACAACTTTCATTTCGACTTCATCGGCTAATTTTGATATTAATTTTAATATATTATTAATATACTATTTTTAGTAGGCCGGCACAGGAAAACTCCGTTCGAAATTCATAACTCCTTCATCTGAACTTCGTTTTCATCTATATTTTTATCGTTGTACTACTATTGATGATATCTTCAATTCTCATTTAGAAAGTTTCGGCTAAATGTCACTCGACCTCAATCTCAAGTTTTGCGCTGTATATTGCTAATGTTGAAACTTCGAAAAATCATACCTTCCTCATACGAAGTCAGATTTAGACATTCGTTTTATGCACGCTCTTGGTTTAACGTATTCTAAGAATTTCATTTAGATCGCTAAGGCCAAATATCACTCTAATGTGAATTCATTATTTACGTCGCGTTGTGTCGTGCCTGTTCTATCGCGAAACTTCGACAGGTCGTAACTTCTTCGTTAAAACTTGGATTTTGGCGGTCTTTATATGTACGGAATCCTTGTAGCATATACTACAACTTAGTTAAGATTACCCATTCTAAATAATCTTCCATCAAAAAGTCATTTTTGATGCTTATCGTCTCTAAATTGAATAACCCGGATCTACGGGCGTCACAATTATCTCCCCCTTAGGATGATTACGTCCTGAAATCATCAACGAAATAGCACTTGTATAATGTTTCCATACGTTATCTCTTCATCATAGGTAATAACTGTAAGTTCTATATTTCCTCGAAATAGTATTGAACTCTTGGACTTCACGATAGCAGGTAGTGCTCAATCCTGCATGTGCTCTTCGTACTATGTTGTACTTTCAATTGTAACCTTCGAGTTACAAAATAAATCCTTATTGAGGAATCCTTCTTCTTCTTAGTATAAGTACTTTCCTTTATCTATTGTAACAGACCGATGGGTCGTGTTCTAATGACCTTTGATCGTATGATGCAGCACTTAGACTCAAGTCTCATAGAGTTAAATTCCGCAATGGAATATACCTTCCTTCATATTCTAATGTGATATAATCACATTTTTACATGTAGCATTTCTAGCTACAAGCTTCCTTAACAACAAGCGTGATGCTATCGATCGTATTGATTTCAATCTTCTGACTTGAGTCAGATGCTACCTCGAACTTGGTTCTATGAACCACGTAACAAACTCATCATAGTCAGACTCAATTTGATATAACCGTTAGGGTCATAATATCAATCATCTTCTTAGAGGGTGTTTGTTTTTTCTCTGCAGGTCTGCGTGACCTCTTCTGTCTGCGAGGCGCAGACCACGCGCAGACATAATGGTTTGCAGTCTGTTTGTTTTTCTGAAGTGCGCAGACATAAAAACGTCTGCGCGAGGTCTTCACCACACAGATATGGGATAGCATCTTCTAAAGTCTGCAAGCCCTTTAACCTAAAAAAAAAACGCGTCTTTTTTTTTTTGCTTCCGCCTCCAGTCCTCGTCCAACCCTCCCAGAAAAAACCCTCCATCGATCGATCGTGCTCCACCTTGCAGCGACCACCACCGTCGCAACCCTCCTCTCCAATCCGGCATCCTCCGATTTTCCGACCATCATAGTCGATTGCAGCAGCCGGCGAACAACAACCCTCGATCGATCGATCGATCGTACTCCACCCTGCTCACCGCCGTTAACCAGCGACTCCCCTGTGAAGCCACCGGCCGGAGACCGTCGCCCCCACAGCTACACCGGAGACTTCGACCTCACAGGTTCGTTTATTATTATTTTTTTCCTGCTGTCAGTCTTCCTTCTTCTCCCGACTTTCTGTTATTCCCTTCTTTCTGTTGCATTGAAGCTATAGTTCAGAATTTATGTTAATTGATGCATAACTCATAAAAGAGCTGTAAAATAAAAACATTTGTAATGAAAGTAATTTATCTTTGAATGTGAAATTGGATTTGATTTTGAATGAAATACCGAGATGTTAAACCTGTAACATCTCCAGCTTGGTTTGTTTGATCGAAAAAGTCCAATTGTGTATGTGTTTGTGCTTCAATTAGCAATTGAACCTAGATGTTAAACCTGTAACAGTAGCACCCAAAATTTCTGTTTAATTATGTTATTGTCAAGCCTGGGCATGCCTCCTGTTGTTTTGAATGATGTTCTTATGATGCTTATATGATACCTTGAATGTAATTTAGGTTATGTACACCAACAATGTTAAATTTCCACTCACCCATATTATCAACAATGCTTATAATTAGAATTGATTGTATTACTTAAATATGCAGTAATTCAAAGTTGTATATATATATATATATATATATATATATATATATATATATGTATGTATATATATATATATATATATATATATATATATATATATATATGATTATTGATTGTGTATATTTATATGATAGTGTATATGTATATGATTGTTGATTTTGTATGTATATGATAGAAAGCATCAAAAAGTGACATAAGTTTTGTTTATTTTATAGAAGTAAAGTTTTTGTCGTTAAAGTGAAGTTTATTTGATTTATAAAGTTTTTTAGAAAACTTTGAATTAAAACACTCTAATTGAGGTTATTTATAATTGAATAAAAAGTTTCACATTATTGTGATTGAAAATAAAACAAAATTACAAATTTGTCGTGAAAATAAAAACTTTTTCTTGAAATAATGATGTTTATTGTTATTTGAAATAATGATGTTACTTGTTCACTGTTTATTGTTATTTGTTTTGAATGATGTTCTTATGATGCTTATATGATACCTTGAATGTAATTTAGGTTATGTACACCAACAATGTTAAATTTCCACTCACCCATATTATCAACAATGCTTATAATTAGAATTAAAACACTCTAATTGAGGTTATTTATAATTGAATAAAAAGTTTCACATTATTGTGATTGAAAATAAAACAAAATTACAAATTTGTCGTGAAAATAAAAACTTTTTCTTGAAATAATGATGTTACTTGTTCACTGTTTATTGTTATTTGGTTATTAGAGATGGGAGAAAAACAACAATGGACCAATGAGCACTTAAAATGCTTATTGGATACTTGTATTGAAGAAGTAGAGAGTGTTGGTAGAAAAAGATTGAGTTTGCAGAAAGATTCATGGATAAGGCTTGGAAGAGTTCTTAAGGAGAAATTTGGGGTTGAGTTGACTCAAAAACAAATGAAAAATGCATATGACAATCTGAAAGCCAAATACACTGGATGGGTATATTTAAAAAACAAAACCGGTAATATATACAATTCTCAAACAAACACTTTTAATTTAACAGCCGAGGAGTGGGATGATTTTAAGAAGGTACATATACATTAATATACAATAATATATATATATATATATATATATATATATATATATATATATATATATATATAACATTTACGTTTGAAGTTGCCAAATATTCTTATACTATTTCTTGTTACATTTGGGTTTAGGGGCATCCGAAAGCTGCTTCTTTGAGAACAATTCCATTGCCTTTTCCTGATCTTTGTGCACGTCTTTTTGATGGAAATAGTGCTACTGGTAATTTTAGGAGTTACTCAACCCAATCATCATCGGTAGCTGGCGCATCCTCCTGTCGTGTTCCACCACTTCAGATCACTGCCACCCCTTTTGATGCAATGGATGATGATGGTGTTGACACTTCTCATCATGAGCCACCACCTTCTACTGCTTCACCTTCTGCAGCTTCACCTTCTGCTGCTTCACCTTCTGCTGGTTCACCATATACTGGTTCACCATATACTGCTACACCATCCGGTAACCCCAACAAAAGGGCTAAACCCTCAACTCCTGTAGCTCCTAGTGCCTCACCGTCTGCTTCTTCACCTGATGGAACTTCTGTTACTGCTGACGATTTAGCATTTGAAATGAAGAAAGCTCTACAAATTTTGACTAAAGGGTACACAATTCCTCAGTGTTTAGAGAAGTTAGAGGTCCTTCAGTTAGGCCCTACAGATCCTTTACGCTTTGTCGCATATCATATTTTTGGAGGAAACATGAACATGAGAGAGATGTGGATGCATTTGCCCGATGTTCCCGAGATATTACGAGGGTGGCTTGAGATGACGGGTACCAGTTTAGGAGTTTTGAAGGATGGGAAGATTGTTCGATGATTTTCTAGTGTTGAAAGTATTTGTTAAGTCTTTTTGCCCTTGTTGGAACTACTTTGTTAAATGTTTTTGCCTTTGTTGGAACTATTTTGTTAGGACTTTTTGCCCTTGTTGGAACTACTTTGTTAAATGTTTTTGCCTTTGTTGGAACTATTTTGTTAGGTCTTTTTGCCCTTGTTGGTACTTGAAATATGATTAATGGAATGTTTATTTGATACTTGAAATATGGTTTATGTAATGTTATTTTGGCTTGAAATATGATAAATGGAATGTTTATTTGATACTTGAAATATGGTTTATGTAATGTTTTTTAAAGTTCTACTTTGTTGATTTTAGGTTCATATGGATCACGATCAAAAGTTACTTCTCGTAATTCTAATGTACCTATACATCCGTTATTTTTGGAAGAGGGGTGTGAAACGATTGCGGGATAATGATTCGGAAATGACGGGACACGAATACACATTGGAGTTATTACACCGTAATCGTTTACAATGTGTTGAAGTATTACGCATGTCCCGTGAATCTTTTGTACGACTATGTGCTCATTTTAGAGCAAATTACTCATTAAAGGACAGCAAACATGTATCAGTTGAGGAAAAGATGGCTATGTTTTTGATGATGATCGGACATAATCAATGTTACGTGATTATTAAGCGGAGATTTCAACACTCGAAGCAAACAATTCATAAATTTTTTTATGAAGTGTTGGAAAAAATGATGCTTTTCACACAAGATGTTATAGTACCAACATCTTTTAATCCGAATCCAAACATTCCAGGACATAATAGGAGGCTACGAAGGGTTTTGAAAGGAGCAGTTGGTGCACTTGATGGCACTTTGATACATGCTGTTGTCCCTGCTAAGAAACAAGACTTATATAGAAGTAGGGGAAAGGGAGATTGCTACCAAAACGTAGTGGCAATATGTGACTTCAATATGATTTTTACATTTGTTGTGACCGGGTGGGAAGGGGTAGCGCATGACTCTAGAATATTATCAGAAGCAGTAGCCGATCCACAAGCATCATTCCCGTTTCCACCACCAGGTAATTTTTTGTTTTTTTCTTAATATTTTCATTTTAATTTGAAAATTGATTAGTGTTTTGCATTTTTTTCAGACAAATATTATCTTTGTGATGCCGCGTATGCACACACTCGAGGATTTATGGCCCCTTATCGTAATGTGAGGTATTGGCTTGGATATTTTCGTCAAAGACGTGCATTGACCAATAAAGAAAAATTTAACCATGGACATGCAAAACTTCGAAATGTCATTGAGCGTGCTTTTGGTGTTTTGAAAGCATGCTTCCCTATATTGAAGAGGATGGCACCATTCCCGTTTGTGACACAAAGAAACATTGTCATGGCATGCTTCGCGCTTCATAATTATATAAGGAAAGAAGGATTGAGTGATGAGTATTTCGCACGATACGATGAACTCAATGTCCCGTTTCGAAATAACAATGTGGCCATTGATGATGATGAAGACGGGATTCCAACACATGGTACTGCAGCAGACCGTGAATATATGACTCAGTTACGTGATGAAATTGCTGATCAGTTGATGCACAATATACATTGAATTGTTTTAAATGATATTGTTATTGTAAAACATTTTTTTTTATTGTATGACTAATTTAGTTGCATGAATTTTATTTTCAATGCTATAAGACTATTATTATTAAAATTTTGGTGTTGAAAAATCATTTTAAGTTGGTAAAATAATTTTATTTAAAATTAAGTTTATTTCAGTAGCCTGCAGACGTTAAAAAACAAACAGTCTTCTTATTGCAGACTGCAGATGTTTGGTCCACCTCTTCTGCTGCAGAGGCTTGCAGATGTGGTCCGTAGACTGCAGACATTTTGGCTTCAGAAAAACAAACATCACCTTAGTCAATACCGAAACAGTGGTAATGACATACTTGAATAAAACGAGATCAATCACTAGCTTCTTGGTAACCTTGTGACTTTCCTTGATCCAAGTGTGAGTCATGTGCTTCGGTAGTATATGCATCTACTACCTTTGACACGTACTCATACTCGTCCCAAGTATTGTCATGCAGTCAACCAAGTCACCATACAAGAAAATCACAAAACAATTTAACACATACGAATGTGTCCAAATAATCATAAAAATTTCCCTAGACTCTACTAGGACTTCTTCATTGCGCATCTTGAATCATCAATTCTACTTCAACTCTGTTGGTGATGGAAATTCCAAACGATGGGACAACTTCAAGAATTTACAACAATTGTTCCATCATCCTACCAATCGAAGGTGTACTTCATACGTACCATACTCCTCTAAACGTACTATTATAAGACATCATCTAAAGGCAAGATACCATTCTTACGATATCTTCCGATAGGTGTCATTCACTATCATAAGCCTTTTCATTTCCTCCATTTACTCAATGCTCTACGAGTCTTCACCATGACCTTTCATGCACCCAAGCAGATGTTCGGTGTACCAGGCGATAATTCAAGATATGAAGCTTTATTTATGATAAACATATAAATCTCCTTATCACTCTGAAACGTTTACATGCTAGTTCTAATACCGTATTCATACGCTTAGAATCCTAAACACATGAGGTTTTCAGATCCGATCAGCAACAGACCATAGATCCGAACAAACAATTTCATATATGGAAAACATATAGCATTTAGCACATAAAAGCATTTTAGGCATCTTTCCTAAAATATACTAGTGCTCGTGTCTAAAATATGGAAGACAATCATCTCACAATCATTGTTTATCATTCTAAGTTTAAGTCTAGAAATCCTACAAATTCCTAGTTCGCTTAAACTAATGCTCTGATACCAACTGTGACATCCCTAATTTCACGGCCAGAAAAAGACTGATTTGTTTATGTTTTGTTTTATAAAATCAGAGTAATCCTTTGATTAAAAGAGTTGTGAAATTTGTTCCCAAAATAAAATATGATAAAATAAATTTTATCAAAGCATTTCTTAAAGAAATGTATTTTCATTAAATAACAAAATCTCGGGATGTCATGTTCCGATATAGACCAAAAGCATAAACAATATAAAATAGACCTTACAACAGTTATTTATAACTATTGATCTATAATCCAAAATCTCTCATCAAGTCCACCAACTTATACCCTTGTGCCATTACCTTTAATGCAAAGAAAACTGAGTGGGTCAGGCTTGGGAGTCTGGTGAGCATATAGGGTTTTCAACCCACAATAATATAATTATTATATTTAATCGTCAAACAATCAACCCAATTACCCATCCCAGTTATCTTCTTTAATTCTTAATGTTTTACCCTAAGAATCAACTATCCTTCAATCATTTATTCCTAAGGATTGACCTAAGGAATTGGCACAAAATCCATTCCTACATAAGGTGCATCTGCCAACGTTATTCTTTAAGCGCCTCTTCCCGAATTACAACATACACTATTAGGCGCATCTACCGACACTATGACATTCTATTTTAGGTACATTTGCCGACGTTATCCTTTTAGCGCATCTGCTAGGATTACGACATTTACTATTAGCCGCATGTGCCAATATTAACCTTAAGCGCATCTGCTAGTATTATGACATTCTGTATTTGGTGCATCTGCCAAAATTATTCCTAAGCGCATCTGCTAGTATTATTACATTCATTATTGGTGCATCTGCCAATATTATTCTTAATCATCTTTTGCAGCTCATCATTTATCTACCCATGTTTTCCCCAACATAATAGTAGATATAAAACACATATACAGTTTAACTTATTTAAAACTTGTACCAAACATTGCATTCAACACCAATCTCAAATAAACAAACAACTTATTAACACATATCACATATTTTATAGTCAATACTTCGTATTCAACACTCATCTCAGATAACCAAACAGCATATTAACACATAGCATGTATTTCATAGCAAATACTTAATATTTATGTGGTAGAAGAAAGTAACTATACACTCACACATATAAAGAACAACAATATATATATATATATATATATATATATATATATATATATATATATATATAGCACGTATTTTATAAAATACTTCATATCTATGTGTTAGATGAAAGTGACTATACACTCACTTGATCAGAAGATGATCAGACAGCACTACGGCTTCTCACAGGCATAGCTTCGGCTTCTTTGGTGAAACTAGAACATCTTTACACATCGGGCTTCTCACAGGCATAGCTTCGGCTCGGAAACTCTTTTCTTCTGGGGATCTTCGGGCTTCGGTACTTTCTTCGTGTCTCAGGATGATACCAGGGCTTCGTTGGGTTAAAATAGGGCATAGAGAGAGTATCGGTAGTGGGAGAGAAAAGATTGAGCAACCAAACTCGGCTGCCGCTTGAATTCTATTATAAGGCTGATTTTAAGTATTCACGTCGTGAATCTCAGATATTCATGTCATGAGTTCAATCGTCACTGCATGCGTCATCGCAAGTTGCATCTGTCGGGCTCCAGAAGTCATAAATACTGAGTTCACATCGTGAACTCTGACAGTTTTGGGGTTTCACGCCCCAAATTTCAGAAATTCATAACTTTCGCTTACGAACTCTGTTTTCGACGTTCTTTATATCCACACGTAGGTAAAAACAAGGTCTACAACTTTCATTTATACATCGTCGGATAATTTTGAATTTAATTTTAATATGTTACTAATATATTATTTTTAGTAGGCCGGGATAGGAAAAGTCCGTTCCAAATTCATAACTCCTTCATATGAATTCCATTTTCGTATGTCTTTTATCGTTGGACTACTATTGATGAGATCTTCAATTCTCATTTAGAAAGTTTTGGCTAAATATTACTCGACCTCAATCTCAAGTTTCGAGCTGCATACTGCTAATTTTGAAACTTCGAAAAATCATAACTTCCTCATATGAAGTCAGATTTAGACATTCTTTTTATGTACGCTCTCGGTTTAACGTATTCTACGACTTTCATTTAGATCGCTAAGGCCAAATATCGCTCTAACGTAAATTCACTATTTACTTCGCGATGTGTCGATCCGGTTCTGTCGCGAAACTTCGATAGGTCATAACTTGTTCGTTATAACTCGGATTTCGGCGCTCTTTATATGTACGGAATCCTTGTAACATATACTACAACTTTGTTAAGATTACCCCTTCTAAATAATCTTCCATAAAAAGGTCATTTTTGATGCTTATCGTCTCTAAATTGAATAGCCCGGATCTACGAGCGTTACACTTTACGACCGGATCAGGATCAGGATCAGGGGGGGGGGAGGCCCAAATGATCCTATTGCACCTGAGCCCGTTTTGTAGATAGGGACAGAGGAGTATGATACTAGGATTCGGGAGATCCTACATGATGAGATTGTTGTTGCATTTCGAGCGCAACTACCAGAGATGTTTGGGTCCATCAACACTGATATGGTCGACTATTTTGATGAGCGTTATGTAGCCTTAGCAGAGATGGCTGACGCAGAAGCCACATCGGTTGTAACAACGGCAGGGGTGAAGGAGGAGCCAGCCGGGGATTTCCAGTATCGGGACTTCGATAACACGAAGCCCTCAACGTTTAATGGTACACATGATGCGATCAGGGCTATGAAGTGGTTATATGACGTGGAGGGTTGTTTCTTCACGTGCTCGTATCCTACTGACCAGAAGGTCAGGTGTGCCCTGAACCTGCTGAGGCTTGGGGTCAATGACTGGTGGAGACTGACGACTAGGTCGTACACCGATGATCAGAAAGCTGCCATTTCTTGGGACCAGTTTAGGGATATGTTCCGCACCTGCTACGTTCCACGCGTGGTGCGGGAGCGGCTTGCTCAGGAGTTTTTGAAATTGAGGTAGGATGGAGAGTTGGTGATGGAGATCACCCGCATGTTCACAAAGAGGGCTATGTTTTGCCTGGAGTTTTCTTCTGAGTAGTCTCAGATGATCCGCTATCTAAGTATGCTCAAGACTGATATCCGTCAGTTTGTTGCTACGCAACGTTGTGATACTCTTCTGGATCTTCAGGAAGCCGTGAGGCGGCGTGAGTTGGAGATAGAGTTGCAGCTGAAGGAGAAGTGTCAGGTTCCAGCACAGTCTTAGCCGACACCTAAGTGGTCTAAGACCGTTGATACTAGGACTGGAGGTCAACAGAGCCACACTTGTGGAAAGTGTGGTAGGGGTCATTATGGAGCTTGTCAAGCAGGTGATGGGAGCCAAAAATGTTGCAAGGAGGGGCACTATGCCAAGGAATGTCTCCGTTCCGCCCCTCCGGTGGATATGAGGATATGTTATCACTATCATCAGGTTGGTCATGTCATGACCAACTGTCCGCAGCTCGTCGCCTAGTTGGCGCAGGTTCGCGCACTAGCTACGTTGAGGATTGTGGATGGGAGGCCAGTTAAGATGGAACCTCCAAAGGCTCAGGGGCGTGCCTTCCAGCTCACGGATGAGGAGGCCAAGGCAGCATCGGATGTTGTTGCTGGTATGTTTATATTCTCTATTTCAGTTATCACATCTGTGTTATGCTTATCTGTTGTACCTATGTTTAGATACGTTTTTAGTGAACTCTTTGCTTGCATTGGTTTTATTCGACTCAGGGGCGAGTCGGTCGTTTGTATCTCATACTTTCACTAGGGGGTTCAATGTGCCGGTAGATGAGCTTGAGTGTCCGTTGCAAGTTTCTCTCGCTAACGAACATGGGGTTTTGCTTCTTTAGTCTACCGGGGATGTGATTTGGAGATTTTCGGGGTATGCTCCACGATAGATTTGATTACTATTCCCATGGGGGAAATGAGTGTGATCATGGGGATGGATTGGCTCAGTCGATTTAGCACCATGATCGATTGTGAGGGACAACGAGTAGTAGTTCTAACATCAAGTGGGGGAGA